TAATCTAGACTGTTATCGCGTTGATTTGATCATCCTATCACGTTCAAAGATGAAATGAATATGGATGTTCATGCAATTTGATCTCATCGTCCGATCGCGTTTAAAGATGGAACAAATCCGGGCCGTCTACACGCACAGGATCGATCCAGGGCTATTTGATCGCAGGTCATACGGATCGCTCGCATGACATCTTGCTTGGCATTGATTCAGCGTGCCTTGCCACGCAGCGTGCTCTAGTTAGTCGGGGTTGCTGACTGGACGGTTCTACGTGACAAAATTTTTTTATTTGCACTCTGATCCCAAATTTCTAATTTTTTCTTTCAAAAACACCCACCGAACCTAAATTTTCACATCTTTTTTCCTAAAATTATTTTCAATTTTATCCTTAATCTATTTTTTTTCCAAAAATTTAATAAAAAATTAAAATAAATTAATTTAAAAATAATTTTTTATATATTTAAAATGTTAAAATTAATCCGGAACAAATTTCGGAACTGAGTATTACATTAAATTTTATATAAAATCATAATAATGCATTTAAAATTCTACTAAAATTAATAATATTTGAAATATATCATGTTAATTTTATAAATATATCGTACAAAAACTCAAAGTTTAGCATTTTAGGTATGATTCTTGTAATCTTATGGTCAAAATAAATGTGAATTAACAATTCACTCAAAAGAGTATGAATTTATGAACAAATTTTATGTAAATTTTAAATTTCTTTCAAATATAAACTAGGAATAATTTCTGACATTTTTTAATCAAATTAAGTGTGAATTTTAAAATAAATTACAGAAAAATTTCAGATTCACTCAAATAGAGCCCTAGTAAATATAAACATTTTAATAAAACTAATAAGCAATGAAAAGTGATTAATGATCAAATTATAAATATTAAACTTTAAAATAAAAATATATGAAAATGAAGTTTGGAAAGATGAATATTAATTTTTTTTTTACCCCCGAAAAAGAGGAGAATGTAAGAGAAAATGGGGGAGATAGTGGTTGGTTTTGTCAGCTTGTGTTGGGTGATCACGAGTAGGCAAACAAACAGTGTACTTTCTTTCTGCACTGCAATCAATAGAAGAAAGAAAAGAATGGTAATGGTGAATGGTAACTTGGTAATGGTGACTTACACACATTTTAACACAACAACATTTATACCCTTTAAACAGAAACACATTTCAGACATACCCATTTAATTCAATTTCACATCGCCTCACCAAAAGCTTACCTTTTTCTTTTTAATGCTCTCTCTCTCGTCCTCCTCTCTCAGCTCTTTTATCTTTCCTGAAAATCGCGCTTCCTTTCTTTCCTTCTCTCTCTCTTTCGCTGGCGATATGAAGAGAAAGAGGATATGAAGAAGCAGCAGCAACAGACGATTATGGAGAGTATGAAATGGCCGTACTGATGATAATGGCACATAAAACCAGTACCAGCAAAAGCAATGCCAGTAATGTTGATGCAAAGCAAGTGTTGAAGCCAATGTTCCATGATTTTCTGGGCATGAAGCCCATGGATTCTCCTCCCTCTTTACTTCCCAAAGCCACCGATTCCACTTCTCTATCCGCCTCTTCTGCTGCTGCTCGGCCTCCCATTTCCTCCACCTCTGATCTCGCCTCCGGTACTTGTCTCTTTGTTTCTTTACCTTCTCTATTTCTTCTTTACTCTCTTTATTTCTTTTGGGTGCTCGCAATTTTTGATTTTTTTTGAACAGTATTATCATCTACTCAAACCCTTCTTCTGCTGCTAATACTTGAATGTTGAATCTACTCAAACCCTTCTTTTACTTTCTTTCCATGGATCTTTTTCTTTTTATTTTTTTTCTGTATATATTGTGTCTGATTTACTGGCTAATGTTGGCTCCGCCTGTTGAGATGAAAACTTTCTCATTCATGTTGGTCTGAGTAATTCTTTAGTTGATTAGTTGTTGTGAGGTCACTAATGTGATTGGTAACTGTTGTAGGTCATTTCTTTTGGTTGAGCTCTCTCTCTCTCTCTCTCTCTCTCTCTCTCACTCACACACACACACACACACACGCAGAAGGAAATTTACTTTGATTTGAGGAAGTTTCAAATAGGAAACAGTTTATGGAACTTCTTACTAATGTTTTGCTTTAGCTTTTTTTATTTGAGAAAGTTGCAGGTTTTTTCTTCTATTATTTTCTTTTACTTAATGTTGTTTCTCATTCTGCTGCCACTCTCTAATAAGAAAGTTAAATTGAATCCAGCTCTTCTATTTTACTTTCACTGTTACTTAAAAGAATGTGTCATTGAGAAACTTTATCAACTCATTTTGCTAAGCACCCCCATCTGCATTTGCTCATGTGGTATATGTTCTTTTCTTTCACTCTCTTTGCTGAGTCCTTATTTTCAGTTCCTCCTCTGATCAGAGTAAGTATTGGTCATTTGTCTTGAAGCTTGTGTAATCATATCCTAGGAATTGCAAGTACAGTTTTGGAAAGTGATTATTGCTTTCTCTTTTGGGATTTATCCATCAGAATTGCAAGTAAAGTTTGATTCTTTCTCTCATCAATTTGATAGAAAGACAGGTCGGGAATCATCTTGAGGGAGTTCCATTCTATGGTCCAAGAAGGGACATATCTGCAACTGAGATAAGCAATAGAGTACTAGGTAGTAAGAGAAGTAACTCGGATTCTGCCTTCACAGGTCATGATTCCCTCGACAGCAGGCATTTGATGAGCATGAAGGTAGGTGTGGAACATCTCATCATATTCTGACTTTCCCTCTGTGTCAGCTAAAAGTTCCATTTGTGCTTTCAGTTATTTGAATTTTCTGACAACTTCAACTATGTTTATTCTCAGATACTCTGCAATGGAACTGCAGGAGAGCGACTTAGAAGGATAAGTGACGATGAGGGTTTCCTTGGCGTGCCGCACCTGAGGCCTGCTTCTGCATCTCTTATCTTGCAGCCCCCAGGTGGAAGTAGAATTGACGTGGATTCTAACAAATGGGAGCGAACACTGACAATTAATGCTAATTCTGCAGTTAAGTACCCGCCTCGTGGAGGTCAATTTGTGCCTTTTATGCATCAAGTGCCTTCAAATAGGTTCAAGGATGCAAATGCTGGTCCTTCAATCATCTCTCAAACAGCCGCTGATGAGGGATCTAGGACTGGGATTAAAGGTACTGGAATTTTGACTTGTAACCACGCCAGTAGTGGTGTTGCTGAGAAAAACTCCTCCGGATTATTGTCTAGTGGGAGTAGACTGAAGTCTGGGACTCACACTTCTGAGCCTGAGTCTTCAACTCCTCCAAGGTGAGCACAAGAAAGCAGTGTATTGTCTTCTCTATATGTTCTCTTTATTGTTTGCTTTCAATTGTTTTCTCTAGGCAGACAGGTGATAATATGGTATTTTCTTGCCTTGTGGTGCCAGTCAGCAGGGATTAACATCCAGTAGCCGGCAAATGACTATATTTTATGGTGGTCAAGCACATGTTTTTGATGACGTGCATCCAAACAAGGTATATTCACTGGTTTTTTCCCCCGCAATACTGGCATTTCAATTTTATGTTACTGTTTATCTTTATATCCACATTAAATAAAATCTCATAATAGCTTTTCTGTTTTGCTGTAAGAAAACAAGAGGAACATGGAATTAGGTTTGTAAGATTACTTCCATGTGCTCGTGTTAGAAAGGCTGCATTCAGTGTGGGCATAAGAATGCCTGCATAAAATAAAGCATTGAAAATTGGGCTTATGTTTGTTTCATTGCTACTTTTATCGAAAACTTCTTTTGAAACTTGCCCCTTCCTCTTTGATTCATTAACAGACATCATCTTTATTCTCATTGACACAGAGTATAACTTAGCAAGACAAGAATATAGTGATATGTCATTTAGAAATCAAGCAGCAAGGGAAAACAAAGTAAACTCCCAACTGCAAAACGGAAAAGGCAAACGCTTACCAGAATTGAAGGAAGAAGTAAAAATCAACTAATAACAACTAGTGATCCTAACACGACATCAACACCACTAAATTAGAAGACATATGAGCAGTTTGCTGCTGATGAAGAAGCCAACTAAACCGGCTGCTGGGGTTTAGAACTGACAAAATG